CCAATCGGCATTTTGTGGGTGATGTAGTCAGCATTACGCCGGCCACCTTGACTTTCCAGGACTGCACCTGGTACCCACTCAAGGTTGGGTACACCTGGGAGGCAAGGTCAAGGTAAAATATGTTCAGCTCCGTCACGACCCGAACCCATGACCTTCCGTTTCGCAGACGAACGTCTAACCGCCAATGTGTATACAGGATTTCTAACTTGTAAGAGATATTAGTCCAGGTTGAATCGCCAAAAGTGGAAGGATTTTCTTTAACCAGTAGGTCTCTTGGGACGATCCTGCCTAATAAAACACATTTCCTGGAAATCTAAAAAAAAAAAATGTAACCCTGGCATTATGCAATATAAAGTTTGAAAAAAAAAAAAAAAAAAAAAAGCAAAGACACTTTTCACGTTCAGGCGAAATGGGCAGATAGGGGGTAGATCTATATTTTATAGACCAATCGGCACTTTGTGTGCGATATGTTCAACATCATGCTAGCCGCCTTTACTATACAGGACTACACCCGGTACCCATTCACGGCTGAGTCCACGTGACATCCAAGGTCATTTTTGAAGAAAACCAGGTCCCATCTTGACCTGAATTCATGACTTTTTTGACGATATAATCAGTTATAGTGATTGTCCTCCCTAGCCACTGTCAAAGTTTTGACATATATACAATTCAAGTTATTAAACTCTAATACTCAAGTCCTATGCAACGCAAACAAATTAGGGAAAAAACAAACTAAAATGATAGGTCACAATGAGATCACAATGGGCGTGAGCTGATGGTGGCGAGTGTTTGGGGCTGGGAGTTGCGCGTGTGGAAGGGGCGTAGATTTGATATATACAAAGGGTTATTTTTGGACTAATAACAGTTAAAGATTTTGTACTTTCTTAGTATCCTACCCCAAACAGGTGAAATCTACAGGTCACGGGACAGTCTAATATTTCAGGGGGTGGTAGATAGGCTGAATGCAGTCGTGGGACCTAACCTGCATGCAGTCGTGGGACCTAGGCTGTACTCTCTCGTGTGACTTAGGCTGTACTCGGGGTTAGGGATAGTTCTAGATGTTTTGGTGTCGTAAAAGCATCAAAAAGCCGGAAAACCCAGTCTTACCACCCTCACAAATATTTGACTGCCCTGTGACGTGATCTATGGTAGATTATACAAAAGAACCAGGTAACAGAACGCAGACGTGTGTGGATTATAAAGTTATTTTGGGGGAAATCTCTTATCCCTGAATGATATCATAATTCCTGGAGTTTTTCCTCTTATTCTTGAATGATTTCATAATCCAAAAAGTTTTTCTCTTATCGCTGAATAATATAATAATCACTGGAGTTCTATATCTTATCCCTGAAAGATATCTCAAAAACAGGAGTTTATCTCCTATCTCTGAATGACATCATAATCACCGGAATTTATCTCTTATCCCTGAATAGCATCATAATCACTGGAGTCTGTCCCTTACTCCTGAATGATATTTTAATAACTGGAGTTCATCTGTTATCCCTGAATGATATCATACTCACTGAAATTTATATTATCTCTTACCCATGAATAGTATCATAAACATTGAAGTTTATCATGCGAATACAGTCTCTGATGAAAGATTTAAAACCATAATCAAAGCACTGGTTTTTGAGATCTCCTCTTATTTTTGCTTTTTTTTTTTATCAATCCAGTTTAGAATTCACAAATTTTAAATATATTTGAAAATAAAATAGTCATCTTCTTTATTTCATGCATTGGTATATGACTTCTTTTAATAATATATGGGCATTTTTTATATTTGTTTAATATTTATTGTTTCTAAGGTAATAAAATCACTCAAAGAAGAGGCTTTAGTCACTTTAATTGCGTAATTTGTGTGTGTATACAATATTTATTGAACATGTTATTTCTACGCTTTTTTTGGTTTAGTAACGCTATCACGTTTGGTAAATACATTGCAATATGTATCAGTCATTCCCTCGTGGGTTGCAATATTTTTTAAATTTTGAAGCCCCACACTGGCTTTTACCGGGAGCCCTGAATAAAGCCGTATCATAAATATGGTTAAGCCATGGATATGGCCTAACGGCTGAAAGGGGTTTCTGTGATCCTCATCCGCATGGTGGCACTTTGTGTCACCGGGTGTTTATCACTTCTGTGATGTCTTGGTGGAGAACAAATACCTACCAACCAGTGCAATAACAGTTCTGAGCTTACAAAGATGCAAACATGGATCGAAGCAATTAAAATTCAATATTTCGAAAAATAAATAATGTGAAGCGAGGGATAGCAGAAATTATTTAAGAATATAACATAAAGTATACAATTATATATACAACATTACAAAATACAGATAACAGCTGCCAAAAGTAATGAAAAACAAAAGCCCAGAACAATCAGACAGCAAGATAATTGCAAGGTGTGGAGCGCATTGTAATTGTGGTTAATCAAATCCAGCTGACCATTTGTATTTAATCTCTTCAGCAGTCTACATATCCCGTCTGCCTTGACATTT